CCAATTTGAGCCCTTTTTTTGGCCAATTCCATTGTTCCAGTCTACCAAACTCATAGCTATTTCTTTAGAACTCCATTTGTTCCATCGAGTACAAGAAACAGCCCATTTACCAATTTCAACTACCCAATAAAGTGGTCAGAAATTGGCAATTTGGTCAATTTCATGCAAATTAAAAAAGATGCCAATTTCAAAATAGGGTCCAGAATGAACAATGCAGACATTCCTGACACTAAAATAACATTTTCTCTGTTCATTAGCCACGTCTCCAGGCCCCTTTTATATTACTCTTGCTTTCTGTTTTGAATTTTTATTCACACAAAAAATAGAAGATTTACTGTTATGCAGACTACTGCATTATTGTAATAATTATATAAATAATGTTAACCCATTCACGGCTGTGTATTAGAATGGCCAGTTGGACATGTATTGGACAATGACGTCATTTGTTTACTCTTGAACATCAACAAAAATCGAACATTTCTGCAAATTTGAGCTCAATTTCAAGGTACTTTTCATCATGAAACTAATCAAAATCATCTCTTTCTGTAATATGTCTTCCATTCTATCAAATGAGACCAAGAAAACGAGAATACAATCATAAATACTATACGAAAATACACCCCAAATTTGGCATTTTAATCCAAAAACACAGTCGGAGTTTTTTTTTTTCTCATCATGCACTGCATGCTGCAGGATTGTTTTTATATTGTGCACACTGACCACACAGACCCATTCTCTCACATGTGGGCCTACCAGGTTTCTCCCACTTAATCTGAAGCCACTAGAATTTTGGAGTATAAATAGGTCAAAAACACTGGCTCGTAAGACACATATATACAGTGGACCCTCGTTTTTCATAGTTAATCCATTCCTGGAGCTGCTACTATTAACGAAATCTACGATTTGCGAATCAATTTTCCCCATAAGAAATAATGTAAATACAATTAATCCGTTCCTGACACCCAGAAGTATTAAAACAAAAATTTTTTACATGAAATATACATGTAGTACATAAACAATACAATGGGAAATGATGAATGAAACATTAACAGCATAACACTTACCTTTATTGGAGATTCTTCTTAGTGTATGGAAGACTGGAGGAGAGAGATTGGATTGTTTATAGTTTGGAAGGGGAATCCCCTTCCAGCAACTCCTCGGATACCAATTGCTTTTCTGGGGTTGCTTCTCTTCTCTGTTTCTTAATGCCACTAGGACCACCTTGAAAGTCACTGGAGTCCTGTCTCGCAAAATAACTGTCCAGAGAGCTCTGTTTCTGGCGTCTCTTTAAAACTTCCCTAAAATGGGCCAAGACTTTGTCACTGTACATGTTGTCAACATGGCTTGCAACAACCTTGTTAGGGTGATGTTTCTCCATAAAGCTTTCCATCTTACCCCACATAGCAAAAATCTCTAATTTCTGAAGAAGGCACCATCTTCCATCTCTCTTCCTCCTCCTCTGCAGGAAGATTCTGAGCTGCGATCTGTTGCTCTTCCTGCTGAAGCTCTTGCAGCTCCTCAGTGGTGAGCTCTTTGTTGTGGTCTTCCACCAATTCTTCCACATCCTCCAAACTCACATCTAACCCCATGGACTCCCCAGTGCCACAATTGATTTTACAATAGACACAGACTCATCAGGGTCAGTCCCAAACCCTTCAAAATCCCTCTTGTTGACACAATCTGGCCACAATTTTCTCCAGGCAGAGTTCTAAGTCCTGGTAGTCACTCCCTCCCAAGCCATACCTATAAGGGTTATGCAATGGAGGATGCTGAAGTGTTCTCTCCAAAATTCCCTTAAGGTCAAGTGAGTGTCTGTGGTCACAGTCAAGCACCTGTGAAACACTGCTTTGGTGTAGAGTTTTTTAAAGTTTGCAATGACCTGCTGGTCCATGGGCTGGAGGAGAGGAGTGGTATTTGGGGGCAAGAACTTTACTGTGATGAACCCAAACTCCTCGAAAATTAGGTCATCCAAGTTTGGAGGATGAGCAGGTGCACTGTCCATTACTAGCAGCCACTTGAGATCCAATTTCTTTTCCAGGAGGTAATTCTTCACACTAGGGCCAAACACTTCATTGAACCACTCAATGAAAATTTCCCTCATGACCCATGACTTATTATTAGATTTCCAAAACACACACAATTTATTCTTCATAACATTGTTTTTCCTGAACACACTGGGATTTTCAGAACGGTACACTAGTAATGGCTTCACTTTGAAATCCTCACTAGCATTAGCACAGAACATTAGCGTCAGCCTGTCTTTCATAGGCTTGTGTCCTGGCATTGCCTTTTCCTCCTGTGTAATGAAGGTCCTCTTTGGCATTTTCTTCCAAAAGAGGCCTGTTTCGTCACAACTGAACACTTGTTCAGGTTTCAGTCCTTCAGCCTCTATGTACTCCTGGAATTCATGCACATATTTTTCAGCCGCCTTGTGGTCCAAACTGGCAGCCTCACCATACTGTGTATGCCAGTACGGTTCTTAAATCTCTCAAACCAGCCTTTGCTGGCCTTAAATTAACTCACATCACCACTATTTTCAAGCAATTTCTTTACCATATCGTTGTGCAACTGCCTAGCCTTTTCACAAATAATCGAAGTCATAAGAGTATCTCCTGCTAATTGTTTCTCATTTATCCACACCAATAATAACTTCTCAACCTCTTCGAGTACTGGTGATCTCATTTTTGTCAGCATAGTTACCCCCTTTGCAACAACAGCATCCTTGATTTCCTTTTTCTTGGCCACTATGGAACATATGGTTGTGTAGGGTTTCTTATACATCCTGGCCAGTTCGGCCGCACTTGTACCACTTTCATATTGTTCAATGATGTTTTTCTTAAATTCAATCGTATTTCTCCTCTTCTTTACCACAGGCTTGGCACTAGGAGCTTTCTTTGGAGCCATGGTAGCTTATTTAGTACTTGCAAGCACTAAAATAAATGGAATATTATGAAATATTTCGCTGGAGCACGTGAGGGGATCTTCGCTCACTGGTAAACAATGCCAGACTGGCTGCTGCCCCGGCTCACGCCGTGGGTACACGTCCCGGACGAACTACTACTCGCGAGCCAACCTATGAAAAGCGAGTCCATGTTTATACGAAAATACCCCTATGATTTCCGAAATCTATGATTGCCGAGAACTATGAAAAGCGAGGGACCACTGTACAACCAAAACAGTCAAACGTTTAATGAATGTATTGTATATGTATTTCATCACTATGGGGTGCTTTAATTAAATGTCACAGTATATAGTATATTATGTGTGGGTGGGGTGGGCTGACCTGGCTGGCTACCAAACTTTCCAAACCTGACTTCCTACAAATAAACCTCACCTCTCACCCTACATTAACACTACAAATATTTTAATGTAATTAATGGGTGTACTGTGTGTGTATTTTACTTTTTATTGCTTTTTAATGCCTAGTTCTATTGCTAACTTAATATATGTTCATGTGAACTTGTTACCTGGCATTTATATGCATTTGTAAGTGGGTAAAAGGGCATTCTGCTTTCTGGCGATATTTGCTTTCCAGCAGTATCCTGGAACCTAACCTCCCGTATAAATGGGGCACTACTGTATATGTATCTGTTTGTAGAGGCAGAGAGGGAGAGAGGGGGGAGAGAGGGGGGAGAGAGGGGGGAGAGAGGGAAGAGAGAGGGGGAAGAGAGGGGGGGAAGAGGGAGAGGGGAAGAGAGAGGGGGGAAGAGAGAGGTGTGAAGAGAGAGGGGGGAGAGAGAGAGGGAAGAGAGAGGGGGAAGAGAGAGGGGAAGAGAGAGGGGGGAAGAGAGAGGGGGGAAGAGAGAGGGGGGAAGAAAGAGGGGGGAAAGAAAGGGAAGAGAGAGGGGGAAAAGAGGGGAGGGGAGAGGGAGAGAGAGAGGGGGAAGAGAGAAGGGGGGGAAAGAGAGAAAGGGGGGAAGAGAAAGGGGAAGAGGAAGGGGGGAGAGAGGGGGGAGAGAGAGAGAGAGGGGGAGGAGAGAAGGGGGGAGAGAGAAGGGGGAGAGAGGGGGGGGGGGGAGAGAAGTGGGGGAGAGAGAAGGGGGAGAGAGAAGGGGGGGGGGAGAGAAGGGGGAGAGAGAAGTGGGGAGAGAGTGGGGGAGAGAGGGGGAGAGAGACGGGTGGAGAGAAGGGGGAGAGAGAAGGGGGGGGAGAGAGGGGGGAGAGGAAGGGGGGGAGAGAAGGGGGGAGAGGAAAGGGGGGAGAGAGAGGGGGGGGAGAGAAGGGGGGAGAGGAAGGGGGGAGAGAGAAGGGGGGAGAGAGAAGGGGGGAGAGAAGGGGGGGAGAGAGGGGGGGAGAGAGAGGGGGGGGAGAGAGAAGGGGGGGAGATGAGAGGGGGGAGAGAGAATGGGGTGAGAGAGAAGGGCGGGAGGCGAAGGGGGGAGACGAGAAGGCGGGAGAAAAGGGGGAGAGAAGGGGGGAGAGAGAAGGGGGGGAGGAGGGGGGGGGAGAGGGGGGGGGGGGAAGGCGAAGGGGGAAAGGGGGTTTTGGGGGAGAGAAAGGGGAGGAAGTTGATGAGAGGGGAGGAGGTGGGGGAGTGGGGGGAGAGGGGGGGGGGAGATGGGGGAGAGAGGGGGAGGGGGAGGGGGGGGTGGGGGGGGGTAAAGGGGGTGGGGGGGGAGGAGAGGGGGGGGAGGGGGGAGAGAGAGGGGGGAGAAAGGGGAGAGGGGGAGAGGGAGAGGGGGGAGAGGGAGAGGGGGGGATGAGGAGAGGGGGGATGTGGGAGAGGGGGAGAGAGGGGGGAGAGGGGGGGAGAGGGGGGGGTGAGGGGGGGAGAGGGGGTGGGGAGAGGGGGGGAGAGAGGGCGGGAGAGAGAGAGGGGGAGAGAAAGAGAGGGGAGGAAGAGATGTGAGCGATGTATTAGAATAGTGACATGTGCTGATCTATGGAATGACAGCTATTGAATAATGATGGTGACTGGGTTGTGTTGTCCCTGTCACACTACATCTGTGGAAGAAAAATGTGGTTAAAAATAATTCTAAAGAGATGAATAAACAACTTACCAGATTTTTACAAGTTTTGGATAAAGACTCAACAACTTCATCAATTACACGGTCTGACACAGTTGATGCAATTGCTAAATTGACTTCATTGACCTTATTCAAAATAACTGATCCTGCTTGTTCCACGATGGCCGACTCCACAAGATCATAGGAGAGCTGAAGAGTTTAGGTAATAATTAGATTTTGCATACACTCATAATATCAACTATCAATAAATTGTCATCACTATTAACAAGCATATGAAAATAGTACGTACTAGAAAAAAAAATTATTATTATAGTACAGTGGACCCCCGCATAACGATCACCTCCCAATGCGACCAATTATGTAAGTGTATTTATGTAAGTGCGTTTGTACGTGTATGTTTGGGGGTCTGAAATGGACTAATCTACTTCTCAATATTCCTTATGGGAACAAATTCGGTCAGTACTGGCACCTGAACATACTTCTGGAATGAAAAAATATCGTTAACCGGGGGTCCACTATTTTTTTACATAAATGTCAAAGACGATATTTAATGTCTAATAATAATGCAGAACAGTGACACTGTCAAACTTACAGTGTATACTGATCTAACAATTTATAATTAATAATTTGTAGCAACAAAAGCAGAGGTGAGCCTTGAGTGTGTCATCTCTGGTGGTAAGTTAATTGTTTAGATTTCCAGTGTTGCTAGCATACTTGCCATAACTGACCACCACACAATACTTGCCATAACTGACCACCACACAATACTTGCCATAACTGAGCACCACACATACTTGCCATAACTGACCACCACACAATACTTGCCGTAACTGACCACCACACAATACTTGCCGTAAACTGACCACCACACAATACTTGCCATAACTGAGCACCACACAATACTTGCCATAACTGACCACCACACAATACTTGCCATAACTGAGCACCACACAATACTTGCCATAACTGACCACCACACAATACTTGCCATAACTGAGCACCACACAATACTTGCCGTAACTGAGCACCACACAATACTTGCCGTAACTGACCACCACACAATACTTGCCATAACTGAGCACCACACAATACTTGCCGTAACTGACCACCACACAATACTTGCCATAACTGAGCACCACACAATACTTGCCGTAACTGAGCACCACACAATACTTGCCATAACTGAGCACCACACATACTTGCCATAACTGACCACCACACAATACTTGCCATAACTGACCACCACACAATACTTGCCATAACTGACCACCACACAATACTTGCCATAACTGACCACCACACAATACTTGCCATAACTGACCACCACACAATACTTGCCATAACTGACCACCACACAATACTTGCCATAACTGACCACCACACAATACTTGCCGTAACTGAGCACCACACAATACTTGCCATAACTGAGCACCACACAATACTTGCCATAACTGAGCACCACACAATATTGCCATAACTGAGCACCACACAATACTTGCCATAAATGACACCACACAATACTTGCGTAACTGAGCACCACACAATACTTGCCATAACTGAGCACCACACAATACTTGCCATAACTGACCACCACAATACTTGCCATAACTGACCACCACACAATACTTGCCATAACTGAGCACCACACAATACTTGCCGTAACTGAGCACCACACAATACTTGCCATAACTGAGCACCACACAATACTTGCCATAACTGAGCACCACACAATACTTGCCATAACTGAGCACCACACAATACTTGCCATAACTGAGCACCACACAATACTTGCCATAACTGAGCACCACACAATACTTGCCATAACTGAGCACCACACAATACTTGCCATAACTGAGCACCACACAATACTTGCCATAACTGAGCACCACACAATACTTGCCATAACTGAGCACCACACAATACTTGCCATAACTGAGCACCACACAATACTTGCCATAACTGAGCACCACACAATACTTGCCATAACTGAGCACCACACAATACTTGCCATAACTGAGCACCACACAATACTTGCCATAACTGAGCACCACATAACACTGATAACTGAGCACCACATAACACTGATAACTGAGCACCACACAACACTGATAACTGAGCACCACACAATACTGTGATAAATGAGCACCACACAATACTGTGATAACTGAGCATCACACAACACTGATTGCTGAGCACCACACAACACTGATAACTGAGCACCACACAATACTGTGATAACTGAGCACCACAAAACACTGTGATAACTAAGCACCACACAATACTGTGATAACTGAGCACCACACAATACTGTGATAACTGAGCACCACACAACACTGTGATAACTGAGCACCACACAACACTGTGATAACTGAGCACCACACAACACTGTGATAACTGAGCACCACACAATACTGTGATAACTGAGCACCACACAATACTGTGATAACTGAGCACCACACAACACTGGTAACTGAGCACCACACAACATTGTGGTAACTGAGCACCACACAACACTGTGGTAACTGAGCACCACACAACACTGTGGTAACTGAGCACCACAAAACACTGTGGTAACTGAGCACGGGAGAAGACTGAAGTGTGAAGAGTGGTGAGCAGCAGGTGGGAGTCACTACAACACACTTGTTTTAATACACTGACCAATAAACACGAGATATATTTCTACACAACATGGAATGTATACTACACAACATAATATATATTACTACACAACATGAAATATATTGCTACACATGAGATATATTACTATACAACATGAGATATATTACTACACAACATGAGATATATTACTACACAACATGAGATATACAGTGGACCCTCGCATAACGCTATTAATCCATTCCTGAGAGTTCAATGTTAGGCGAAATTATCGTTAGGCGAATTAATTTTACCCATAAGAAATAATGGAAATCAAATTAATCCGCATAAGACACCCAAAAGTATGGAAAAAAATTTTTTTTACCACATGAAATATTAATTTTAACACACACAAACTGAAGAAGACATGCACAGTTACATGACATTTACCTTTATTGAAGATCTGGTGATGATTGATGGGATGGGAGGAGGAGTGTGTTGATGGTCTTAGTGATTAGAAGGGGAATCCCCTTCCATTAGGACTTGAGGTGTCAAGTCCTTTTCTGGGGTTACTTCCCTTCTTTTAATGCCACTAGGACCAGCTTCAAAGTCACTGGACTTCTGTCGCACAACATATCTGTCCATAGAGGCCTGTACCTCTCGTTCCTTTATGACTTTCCTAAAGTGTTTCACAACATTGTGAGTGTAATAGTCACCAGCATGGCTTGCAAAAGCTGTGTGAGGGTGATTTTCATCCATAAAGGTTTGCACTTTAAGCCACATTGCACATATTTCCTTAATCTTTGAAGTAGGCAACTTCTTCAATTTCTCTCTCCCCTCCTCCAAAGCCGTTTCCTCAGGTCTGGCCTCTTGCTGTTGAAGATGATCTAGCAGCTCATCAGTGGTTAGTTCTTCATTGTCCTCCACCAACTCTTCCACATCCTCCCCACTAACCTCCAACCCAAAGGACTTCCCTAATGCCACAATTGATTCCTCAACTGGCATACACTTCTCAGGGTTAGCCTCAAATCCTTCAAAATCCCTTTTGTCTTCACATTCTGGCCACAATTTCTTCCAAGCAGAGTTCAAGGTCCTCTTAGTCACTCCCTCCCAAGCCTTACCTTTAAGGTTTACACAATTCAGGATATTGAAGTGATCTCTCCAAAACTCTCAGAGTCAATCGAGTTTCTGAGGTCACTACAAAGCACCTTTCAAACAGAGCTTTAGTGTACAGTTTTTTGAAGTTTGCAATGACCTGCTGGTCCATGGGAGAGGTCCAGGAGAGGAGTGGTATTAAGAGGCAAAAACTTGACCTTAATGAAGCTCATGTCCCCACATAGTCGCTCTGCCAAGTCTGTAGGATGACCAGGGGCATTGTCTAACACCAGGAGGCACTTAAGATCTAATTTATTTTCAATTAGGTAATTTTTCACAGTGGGGGCAAATGCATGGTGTAACCAGTCATAGAAAAAGTCCCTAGTGACCCATGCCTTACTGTTTGCCCTCCACAGCACACACAAATTAGCCTTGAGGATATTCTTTTGCCTGAATGCTCTGGGAGTTTCAGAGTGATACACCAATAAAGGCTTCACTTTGCAATCACCACTAGCGTTGGCACACATTAACAGAGTAAGCCTGTCTTTCATAGGCTTATGTCCTGGGAGTGCCTTTTCCTCCTGAGTAATGTAGGTCCTGCTTGGCATTTTCTTCCAAAAGAGGCCTGTTTCGTCACAATTAAACACTTGTTCAGGTTTTAGTCCTTCACTGTCTATGTACTCCTTGAATTTGTGCACATATTTTTCAGCTGCTTTGTGGTCCGAACTGGCAGCCTCACCATGCCTTATCACACTATGTATGCCACTACGCTTCTTAAATCTCTGAAACCAACCTTTGCTGGCCTTAAATTCACTCACATCATCACTAGTTGCAGGCATTTTTCTAATTAAATCCTCATGCAACTTCCTAGCCTTTTCACATATGATCGCTTGAGAGATGCTATCTCCTGCTATCTGTTTTTTGTTTATCCACACCAATAACAGTCTCTCAACATCTTCTATCACTTGCGATCTCTGTTTCAAAAACGAAGTTGCACCTTTGGCAAGAACAGCTTCCTTGATTGCCGTTTTCTTGGCCACAATAGTAGCGATGGGTGATTGGGGTTTACTATACAACCTGGCCAGCTCGGAGACATGCACTCCACTTTCATACTTAACAATGATCTCTTTCTTCATATCCATAGTAATTCTCACCCTTATTCCTGTAGGGTTGGCACTAGAAGCTTTCTTGGGGCCCATGGTCACTTATTTTGCAGGTGAAATCACTAAAAACGCTGTAATAATACGAAATGTTCTGATTGTATGCTTGGATGTGACCGCGGAGGCTGGCTTGTAAACAATGCCACTGGCGGAACAAGTGAGGCTGGCTCAGGCCGCATATGGACGCGTCTTGGATGAATTGCGTTGAGTGAGTTTTTTAGCGCTAGGCGAGGCAAATTTTTTGCGTTAAAATGTATCGCTAGGCGGATTTAACGTTATGTGATGCCATCGTTAGGTGAGGGTCCACTGTATTACTACACAACATGATATATAGCAACATGATATATATTACTTAGCAACTAAGTAATGATCCACAACAACTATAGTAAGACGTATACTGTAATAAGGTCAGTGTACACACACTGGTCAGTGTGAGAGTGAACACTAGTGTATACTCACACTAGTCAGTGTGTGTACACTAGTGATGGAGCAGTCAGTAGGTTGCCCATACTGGCAAGTAACAGGAAGGAAAAGTTGAGATGGTTCCTAGCTCAGTGGTAGTGCTCTTAGCTCACAAACGAAGCATCCAGGTTTGATCCTGAGGCAACAAGACACACTGGGCATGTTTACTTACACCTCTTGTCTCTCATCACCCAGCAGTAAGTACTACATGGGTATCAGCAGACTGTGGGTGACATGATGGTGGGAAGGGGAAGGATATGGGGGAATTGGTGGTATTGAGTAATAATTTGGGGGAAGAGAGTGGAAATTTTGGGGAGGGGACTGGGAATTTGGGGAGGGGAGTGGGACAGATGAGAGGGAAGTGGTAGTCTACCTTACCCAGTGCTGAGCTTTGGAATAACCCGAAGAAAAGAACTGTTTGATTGTACAATAACTACTGATGTAAACCGAAGTTATCAGTTTACCTGAGACCTGGTAATGTTGACATTACTGACATTAACTGATGTTATTACCTGTGACTTAGCAAGGCAGGCAGCTCTGACATCATTAACCACCTTCTCCTCACTGAGCACGTTAGGGCACTTGTCTTGTGCTGAACGAACCATGCTCTCCACTGTGTCCTGAACAAACAAACAAAATTCGTAAACAACTTACATGACAAAACTGTCATCTATAACAAATACAGTAATTCATATACCAGGTTTAACAAAATAAAAATCACGAAGAGAAAACCTTCAAAGATATATAATATTATATAATAAAAACATTCTCACTCAGTACAGAATTCTTGCTCCATAAGCTGTGTGTGTCATAAGAGGCGAATAAAATGCCGAGACGAAGGGGATAGTAACCCCTTCTCCTGTACATACTACTAAATTTAAGAAGATAAACTTTCATTTTTCTTTTTGGGCCACCCTGCCTCTGTGGGATACGACCGGTTTGTTGAAAGACGATGATTATCTCTCAGTCCACAACAGGATTTGTACCCACAAACTCGGCATCAGAGTATACAGTACTTAGTCTACACATTGTGTGGACATAGTTTGTAAAAAATTGCGCCTGTTTGCGAATTGTTAAGCAATAGGATTCGAAGCCACGTCAGGGAGGCTGGCAAGGTTCCTCAAGTGACGCTCTAGACCACTCTGCCACAGATGCCTCAAAAGCTGGGCAGCCTTTTTTACAAGCCATGTTTCTCTCCCAGCCTGAGCACACCAGTGGACCTCGAGCATGGTTTCAAGCTATTTCAATCTCCACCTGTATGTTCTGAGCTTACAAGCAATTATATAAATACCTCACACAGAAACAAGCAGGTATATACAGAAAAAGATAGAGGTCAGCAGGATTTGAAACCACATCAAGGAGGCTGGCAAGGTCCCCCAAGTAACACTCTAGACCACCTGAC